CCCATGATTTAAATTAACGGCACAGAGGAAGTTTTTAATGTCGGGAAGAAAGTCAACCGGAACCAAACCTTCTCTCCTACTTCACACCCGGAGCCCCCTTGTCTCCGCAGCGCTGTCCTTGCTCTCTCTGCTCCCTTTGTCTTCTGCTTTCCGCCCTCTCTTCTTTGTGCCTTCCCTCCCCTTCCCCCCCACCCCCAAGACACAGATACATACACGGGCTCTTAAATCAGGACTGTACTCGAATCCCAGGTCCCGTGGCTCCAAGGCCCTCGGCACTGTGGATTTGGCCTCAGTGCTGTAGAACCCCGAGCGGGCCTAGAAGCGATCCTGAGGCGAGCCACACGCTGAAGCTACTTGATGTGAACAAAGTGGAGTTTACAGAACCAGGACTGAATCTAAAGTCTGACACAGGGGACCGGCGGTGTGTTAATCCGACCCCTCTCCCACGCCTCCTTCCTGCGCCCGGTGACTACTGTGCCCCAGGTTTGATTCTTCCTGCTGAGTTGTTGGCTCGCCCAAGGTTTCTGTCCTCGGTCTTCCTCTGCCTCTGCCCAGTCTTAGCTCCTCCCTGAGCTCGCGTGCTTTTCTCCTCTGTCCAGCATCTTCCCGCCACATCGAAGCCCTGTTAAGGCCATGGACTCGGAGACAGCCTGGCTGCTCAGATCTGTCGTGGAGCAAATGAAGTGAGAGGACCGAAAGGGACTGTGGGAAATAAGCAAGTTCATTAAGGTGAAAGGCATTTTTAAAATCCCTGCTGTGCAGTTCCTATTTATTGTCGGGCTCACACCTGTGGAAGCGGAGACGCTGCCTCCTCTGTCCCTGGCTGTGTGGGCCCCGTGTCTCCTCACGGAGCGGGGACCGTCAGCCACTTCCCAGATGGTGCCCGGATGCGCAGGCCTCCGCAGCTTCGCTACAGGGCTGTGGGCCGAGCACAGCCGGGTGGCAGGGAAGGCTAGGGATGCACGGAAACTCCACACAGGGCGGCCAGCTGCAGAGCCAGTGTTCAAGGCCCGGGGAGGGTCCGGGCAGGGTCCCCACGGCAGCTCAGGAAGCCTGGGCTGGTTACCAAGGGCTCTGCTGCCTGAGCTGGGACAGTGAGGTAAAGCTCCAGTGAAGCCGGACTTGGCGGCCAGGTGGCACCTGGAGCTGGGACGGCACAGGAGAGCCTTCGGGCTGCGCCCAGACCTGCCAGGGCTCTCCCACTCCCTGGCTGTGCCGCCGTGGTAGGGACACTGTGGCTTCATGTCCGTGGACAGACGTGGACTCCCTCGGGGCCACATCAGGAAGCCATGCAGGTGTGAGGCAGAAACGCATTCCACAGAGCTGCTAGTGCAGCAGATACTCTTCCCTTTATTTCTGTCTCCTTCTGTTGGAAACACTTGCTTTCTTTAGCTTTTTTTTTTTTTTGAGGCAGGGTCTGGCTATGGAGCTCAGACTGGCCTTGAACTTACTATGTAGCCAGGCTGGCCTCGAACTCGCAAGGATCCAGGTGCCTGAGCCTCCTGAGTGCTGGAATTATAGGTGTGCGCCATCACACCTGGAAGAAACATTTGCTTTCAAACAAAACAGTTTCTCATATAAAGTTCCATGTGTTTGGGGTGACCGTGGGAGCTGTCTCTGTGTGGGAGGCGTCCTGTCTCCTGTGTCTTCCCTCTGTAGCTAAGGACGGTGTTAACTTCCTGCTGAGTGGTCCGATGACTGCTCTTCCTAAAACGGCTGCGTCTCAGATTTACCTGCGCTGAAACGCAGCCCTGCCCTGTGTGTGAGGAGAAACTCCTTAGGTGCTCACCTTTCTTGGGAAGAGTTCTGCAAGTCTCTGTGAGCGGGTTAGCAGGCATTGCAGAGAGCGAACATTTCAAGAAGAAATGTTAAGAATGTCGCTGCTCTCAGGTATAAGCAATACCGTACCATAACTAAACATTGTGGAACCATTTCTCTTTGAAGCTGATTCATCGCCTCAGTAATTCAGAATTCAGCTTGATCTTAGAGATTTCTAGTTTAAAATCAGCACCGTGGGCCTACTAGACTGGCAAATATCAGCGAGAAAGCTTTGCTTGTAGACTGGTGCTGACGACAAGTAGTCTGGTCACAGAACAAACGTGAACCCGGAAGTCCTAACGAGCAGGATTGGAAGCGGCTGTTTTGGCCGGACGTGCAGATTTCCTGGAAGTACCTCCTGCGAGAGTCGCAAGGGCGGCAGGGTACGGTGGCACTGGGGTGGGCAAGCTCAGGCTCGAGGTAGACAGGACTCCGGGAGTCCGAGTGCCTGCTGTGCGCACCTTCTTCCAGTCGCTCAGCCCACGTTAATTCAGGGCAGTGGTGAAGGTCGTTGCAGTTGGAAGTAGGCTCTGAGTCAGGGGACCTTGAAAAGTAGATCCTGTCTGGGTGGGCCTGGCTGTCACGCAGTGCTTCAGATCCCGCCCAGAGGCCAGAGACGGGGGCAGCAGAGAGCCTGAAAGCGTGGGAAGGACTTGATGCCTAGCAGGTCCTCCCCGGCTGGTGCTGGAGGTGCAGGGGGCCACGGGGCAAGGTGCGGAAGGGCTGCGCAGGATCCCTGTTGACAGCCCGCCGTGCGCAGGGACCTCACCCCTCCTGCGGGGTGCAGACTTGTGCCCCCAGTGCGAGCAAGGCTGGATTGGACCCCAGGCCCCTCAGCCCCGCGGCCCCAAGGGCGAGCTGTAGCTCTGGGAAAAGCAGCCACACCGAGCTGGTGTCTGACCGAGGACAGGGGCCGGAAACGGCATTCTCAAGCTGCCACGGGTGCGACTTGTGCACCAGTACAGACTAATAATACAGGGCCCCGTGTGTCCCCGACTCAGCCTGGCCCCTCCGGCACCGACTCTGCTTCTGTAACCAGGTGCGGCCAGACATTGTGGGGAAGCATTGTGAACCCTTTCTGCGTGCTGTGGTGGCCGGCTGCGTAAATGTCCCCATTGATCTGCTGGTCTCCAGTGGGACTGTGCCAGCAGGAGGCGCACTCTCCCACCACGCGCCTCCGTCCTTGGTGCACCCACCAGAGTACACAAGGTGCTGCTGTTGTCTCCACAGCTGAATCAGCTCAGGCCACCACTTCGGCTCTCCTGGGACATGCTTTGGTTCCTGCTGTTGCAGGGAGTGTCCCAGCCACATGGAGAGGCACGGGCCAAGCGGCGCCAGCACTGGGAGGGCACACTGGAACTGAGCATCTGTCATCAAAGCCTCTTTCCTTTAGCGTACAGGGATTGCACGAGTAACACACTCACTCTGTTACACTTCTATCAGTAACTCATTTTAATTACGGCGGAGTTTCAGTGGATGAGGATTGTGCATTTGGGGCACAGAGGGATGCTGGGGTGCGCAGACGCTTCCTGCGATGGTTCAGCCAGGCCGATCAGCATGCCCATCACCTCGGATGCCATCACTGCCTGGTGGGGGGACATTTAAAAGCTGTTCTTGGAGGGACTTGGAAGTATCCAGGACGTCACTGACTGCAGCAACCGTGCTGTGCAGTGTCGCCAGCCCTTAGTCCCCCAGACACCGGCACTCGCACCCTGTGGCCAGCTGTTCCCTTTTCTCTGCCCCACTGCGGTCCCCTATGTGGTCCTCTATGTCAGGGCCCTGCTTCAAATATATGTTATCTAATAAGTGACTACTTTCTTGTCCCCTCGTCTGTGCTTCTCCGAGTCGGACACTTTGAGATCGCACACAGAGGGTCACACGCTGTCTTTTCATGCGTGGGTATCATTTCATTTAGGTTCCACTGTCCGGATTCATCCCTGCTGTTGTAACTGACAGCATCCCTTCCTTTTGAAGGCTAAGTAGTATTCTTTTGTGAATAGGGCATGTTTTCTGTGTCCCACGTGTCTGCCAATTGGCATGTAGGTTGATTGTGAGCCGTGCTGCAGCAGAGAGTAACACATTTAGTTCTTCTGGACACTGAGGTGGCCTCAGGGCTTCGTTCATCCTTTGGTAAATGTCTGTCTCACTTTCCACAAATACCTGTCATAAGCGCTGTGATTGTTCCAGATGCAGTGGTTTCACAGGCATTTCTTCAGCTGTGCATCATCGGAGCAGCTCCCACGAGGCCGTGTGATAACCCTGTTACTGTCTGCTTTATGCGGGTTTATCGTATAAAGTGAATAAAGTGTGATGCAGGCGTACGGTTCTTCTGAACTGGACAGGACTGAGCGGCCACAGCGTGGCTGCTGCCTGTCTTCTTCACAAATAAAGAATGACGGGTCCAGTGCTTGGCCGCTCCATCTGTGGCCGTGTTAGTGGCTGTGGCGGAGTCGAGTGGCTGCTTGGAGACTGCAGGCGGCGAAGGGTCAGATAGTTCCTTCCTGGCCGGTTACTGGAAACAGTTTACTGCTCTTGGACAAAAGTACCTAGAGGTTAAAGAACTGTTCTTATTTTTAAAAACGTGTGACTTTTGAATGGTTTTGATTTTATCTAAGCTATTTTCTCTTAAATTGCATAACATACTATTCTGTTACAACTGATGACAATTTATAACTGTATTTGATGAGAAAAATGCCTAGAATGTATCGGGAGATTGGTGTCTAATTTCTTAAAAATTAAAGGCCATTAAAATTTATTGGAGATGAATTCATTAATGCTGAGAAGACAGCTAATGAGGCTTATATAAAAAATTACATTGTCACATGCATATAATTTAGCTGTGCGGTGAGGGCTGGTTTCATTATTTCAGCTAGCTTTACCTTTTTTGATAGTCTTTATAATAATTGTGAATTTTGATTAATGTGTACATTTAAAATACCAATCTACTTGCTATTTCACTTTGTGTTGGTCAATAAGGCAAAGCTAGTAGCTGCTTTCAGAGAAGCCTCATATTTCTTGTGTTTCGTAGCCGCAGCTCAGTGTGTTAAAAGCAAGTATTTAATCGTGCTGTTTCTCAGTCACAGAATTCCAGCAATTAAGCATGGGGGCTTCATGCTCTATATCAGGGCCCTGGTTCAAATATATGTTATCTAATAAGTGATTACTTTCTTTTTTTTTAACAGGCTTGTGGAAGAAAGCAAACTGGTCCCGCTGATTTTTGAAGTAATATTGGTAAGAAAGGAAACGTTCTTGTGAAACTTTAACATTGCACAGGTTCTGCCTGGCTCGCATGGTTGGCTCTGTCACCTGGGCTTCCCCCCGGAGGGTTGTGGCTCTTGGTTGTATCATGAGCCTCATCACACCTCCGCTTTCTGCTGCGGGGAGGTCTGCGCTGCTCAGTAACCCGCCCTTTCACGAATCACCTGCCGTTCATCTCTGCTGAAGTCATCAATGGATGTCTCCTCATCTAGGAAGAACACTTCGCGGGGGGCGGTGGGTGGAGCCGGGCAGAGCACCACGGCCTCCCTCCGCTGGGCATCCCTGGGTGCCAGGCTGGCAGCTCCGTGCCTGAGGTTGGGGTTGCTTCCCAGAACTGGGCTGGCTCAGCTTCCCTGCGTCCCTCTGCTACCATGGCAGGCATCTTAAATGAGAGCCACCCATGGGGGCTCCTTGTGTGGGGTGCAGGATTGGCTCTCGTCACCCCTGATGAAACCCGAGGAGGCCCCTGTCCAGATCTGAGAGTTGGGTTGGAAACAGTTGCTGTGGCTTGCTAAGGAGCGCCGCCTGCGGGGAGGTTCTTTTGTTCCCCTGGCGTCCTCCCTTCTGGAACTTGAGGGCCGTGGTTCCGCGACAGTGTGAGGTGCAGAGCAGGGGCCCGTCCTCACCGTCTGGCCTCCGCTGTGCAGTGGAACAGGAGCTTTTCAGAAGCACCTGACGGCGCCAGCCTGCAGGTTGTGTTCTCACTGCTGTGGAGAGCCGTCGTGGCTCAGAGCAGGCTCCCTCTTCCATGCAGCACAGCCGCTTGGTGTGGTAGTGTGCGTGTGCGTGTGCATGTGCTGTGCGGGGCGATCTCCAGTGAGCAGAAACTTGTTCCTCACAGTTCTGAGGGCTGAGCATGCCAGCAGCGGGGGTCTGACGTGGGACGGGCGGAGGGGCGCTGCTGCACCTCCCAGCAGGAGGAAGAGTGCTCCAGGCCTTCACCCCTCAGAGAACTCGCCTCTCTCCTGGAGCTCAGCAACAGCTTGACTCAGAGGGGACACAGCGTCCGAAGCTCAGTGCTGAGTTATTGCATGACAGGGAGCTGGCATAGAGGGGCGTGTTCCCCAGCCTGGCCCAGTGCCCGATGGCAGGAGCTGCGGGTGGAGCCCAGACTGGAGCGCATGGAGTGCTCTGCTGAATTCCCTGGAGAGGGGACCGGGAGCAGGGAGAGGAAGACGCTGTGATCGGGAACAGGAACGGGGGTGCTTGAGAAGGGTGCGTGTTGCGGAATTGGATTTGTTTGGGGGGACAGCTGATGCCACAAGCTCTGCAGCTTGGCCATGTGGTTGGACAGAGGGCAGGAGCCAAAGCTGTCCAGGCAGCCACATCAGTCGGCATTTGAAACGAGGCCGTGCACAAGCTCGAGTGCAGAGGGCCTTGATGCGTGGTGCACCTCCTCCTGCTCCCCGCAGCCTGTGTCGGTCGGCTTGCCTCGCCTCCTCTGGTGACTGACCGCCGTGGTGTTTGGCCTTCGGCTGTCCCCCGCCCCAAGGCCTGGAGTCTCAGTGCAGAACGTCCCTTCTTACAGGCTGCATGTGGTCTTTGCGGATCAAGTTCCGAGCACGAGCGTGCCTTTCACGGGACGGAGAATGCTGAAGGGATGGGTGCCCGATTTCAGCGCTGCCCTGGCTGGGGCGGCTGCCGCGGAGAGTTGAACCAGGCCTGGGCCCCATGGCCTTGCGCGTCCGGGCTGGGGCTCTTCCCCTGACCAGAGCGGGGCCGCGCTCTTGGTTTTTGCTTGGTTGTTATTTTAAAGGGAGATCCTGCTGCTACGCAGTAGAGACTAAAAGAGATGGAGTCACTGCTTCGTGGGGTGGGGCCTTCTGCCCTTGAGGAGCATTATTACATTTCTGTTGTACTTCCGTCTTTCCCGAGTTAAATAATCTGAGCTTTTTTTCCTCCATGTAAATACATTTTTTAATCAGTGCAGGGTCTTCGTAGCAGGTACTCTATGAACTGTTACCTTGTCCTCTTAAACTTTTTGATACCAAGATACGCATAATACACTATTTTATTGATTCTATGAATCACAGGATTCTCAGGTTGTAACATTTCTGAAACCCAGGTCTGCTTTCCAAATCAATGGCGTTTTACAGTTGCTTTCAGACAGGTGACCTGGTTGTCATTGCCTTAACCAATTTATTTCACTTTTACATTCCTTTTTATAAATGCCTGAGAGTGATATATTATAAAGAAAAGCTATGTCAGGATAAGTCTAAAAGAGCTCCTTCAATAAAAAGAAAATAAAATTTCTGAGTAAGAAGGAGCCATGTCATAGTTTAATTGGCAACATTTTTCTCCCTCAGTGCTCGATGACATAACGGTGCGTCTTAGAACTGATGGGTCCTGGAGTTGGGGACACAGCGCGTCCTTCAGCTCTCCGTGGCTGTTGGCTCCCAGCGAGGCCTCTGTCAGGCCTGGGCAAGTGTGAGTGTCTGTTGCACTCGGGGCCCGGGGTAGAGGCACAAAACCAGGACACAGGGGATGCAGAGCAGCAAGAGCCAAGTTTGCAACTGCAACTGCATACTGAAGTTTATTTTGTAAGAAGTTTTATAGCATACAAGTGTAGTTTTTCAGATAACATATGAGTACATACCGAGCCAAGTAATTGTTTTTCTGACAGTCTGTTCCAGGTGTGCTCAATAAACCAAGGTCGGTTGTTATCTTATTTTTCTAAAGCATGAGAAGCAGAAAGTTGTCACACCACCACAAGACTGCTCGGGACATTTTATTTTCTACAAGGCCGAGACATTCTATTTTAATCTACAAGGCCTCTGGCCACTTTCCCATATTGTGAAAACCTAGCCAAGCAAGTTCTCAAGGTTTTGCGAGGGGAGAACATTTTCTCCTCAAGAGGCACAGGCATTCCAGTCCTCATCTCGACCCCAAGTAACCTGCGGCTCCGGCCCACACAAAGGGAGGGCCTAGGGGCCTGAGGATCCTGTGTTTCCCACAGTTCCTCCTTTTTT